CGCGTCCAGGCCAAAGAGAGACAAAGCACGCGTAAAGTAGACGGTTGGTATTTTGACTTGAAATGATGCAATGAATACATGAAAGAAAGAAAAGGAGATAATGGTGGATTATGCTACTTTATCCAGTACACTTTCAACTGGACTATTTCATATCATGAAAAGAAGCTTCTTTAGAATGTCAGGAAAGAAATTCAACAGGGTCTTAATAATGATAAAAGGCGATGATAATAATGGTAATGTTCATAGCGAAAGTAGTAGCAGTTGTGGTGGTGATGATGATGAGTATGATGAAGAAGACGGTGAAGATGAAGTAAAATACGGTTATACAAATGAAATGACGCCATATCATACATAGAACTTTCCTGTCCCCCAATAAAACAATTGTATCCCAATGTGTTCTCCGCGTTTAAAATGTCACAACTTTAACTTTTCGCACCTACTTCGGCTTCGTAGACTCTGACTGTATTTTCCCGTACATAAACTAAACGACTCTCCATGACAAAAACATGGTTGTGTTACATGTTAAACTTTCTGAGAAACGGCGACGGTGGATCATCTAGAGAAACAGGCACAAACACAACCGACTTCAAACCTTGTGGATAATGAGCCACCGCCGTTTGAACCCTCGATAGCAACTGGTTTATTGTTATTCTATATAGCAACTGGTTTATTGTTATGCTATGAAGATATGCATCTACTTTGACTTTAGTTACTGGTATGAACATAATTCAGCAGGAGACAGAATTGCCCTGTGACATTTATTTACTCTTATATGTACACGGCGAGGAAGAACACACACTTTATGCAGTTCTTGACCCCTCCTCCTATAAATAAATAAATATATTTATATTTATATATGTAGGAGTGTGTGTGTGTGTGTGTGTGTGTGTGTGTGTGTGTGTGTGTGTGTGTGTGTGTGTGTGTGTGTGTGTGTGTGTGTGTGTGTGTGTGTGTGTGTGTGTGTGTGTGTGTGTGTGTGTGTGTGTGTGTGTGTGTGTGTGTGTGTGTGTGTGTGTGTGTGTGTGTGTGTGTGTGTGTGTGTGTGTGTAGTTGTGAACAATGGAGGTGTTTTACGTATTATCCATTTACCCCCCCCATCTCCCCATTTCATTTTCTATCACAAAACCAGAGAGCAGAACTCGGAGAGATACGGAATAAATTAGATGGTCCGACAATAGCAACGGCTAATTTGCACTTCAATTGAATTTATGGAGAATAATCAAAGGCCGACACCCTACCGAGGATCCGAAGGTCGTGAAAGTATTGAAATGTTTGATGCTGACGCCAATTAGATTTTAATAGTAAACAAACAGTAAACGATATCTTTGCAATTGAATTAACTAATTTATATTAATGAACTATTAATCTGTATGGTTAAGCGACAACGAATATGTAAAGTAAAATAAAGGTTGATATTCACTCATTGCGCTCATCAGACACCACAACGGAAATACTGCAGTGCTTCCAAACCATTGAAAATCGTCTTCCATGTTTTAAGTTCTCTAATTGAGTGGGCCCTTACCGTTGTTGCCCCTTGGAAACGCCTCAAAGCTGTTAACATTACCTCAAAATGGTATTGGATCCCACGGTAAATTGGCCGTACTAGAAACTTTTACCGATTGGGTTACAAGTGCTTACCCAGACCATAGTCAGTTAAAACAGACACATAATAAAATTTGCAACCTTTCTAAAGTCATTTGATGGCTTAATTCCAATACTTTTAAACTAGTAAAGCTCCCTGTAAGCAGTTGCCACGAGGCAACAGGAACTGCAGAAAATAGCTGCCCCATGATGTATATGTAGGAATCTCTGAAAAGTATATGTAGGAATCACTGAAAAGGAAATTACGATGTGAATTAAGGTACTTTTTAAAATATAGGAGATAGTATCAAGTTTTGATATTTTTTTCTGCAGTAAAAGCATTTGTTAAATCCATGGAGTAAATGCCACGTGAATACAGCCACATGTATACATATTTAAAAGGCTTCAGAGAAAGTGTTAAAATGCTTACTTATAGGATTTCCTTCCGAGATATATCAGGAAAACTGTGCATAAAATATAGCAAATATTAGTGGCAGCTTTTTCTGGTGATGAATATTTGGCAGATGGAAATGGCAATTCATAAAAATAGAAATTTTATTGTGCAATGGCTTGAAAATGACGTACTGTAGACAGAATTAATGTGTCTCAATAGCAGGAGGATACATGCTGTATTTAGAATGATAATCTGTAAATCATACGTATATCTCTTATATTAATTGATCGGCTATTTACCACTATACACAGCCATCCCATTAACTTACCAATAATTTTGTAATGAAGCAAATAGCACATTTACTGAGAGAAATTGATGAATTCCATTAGACAAGCTATTTCATTCCCAAGTTTTTAAAAAATAGTATTAATAAACACTCAAACATTATATATATTTATTAAGAAATGTATAATGAAAACTAAAAAGGTATTTTCTACATTCAGGATAGGTAATAAAAGTATCTGAGTAAATACAAAAGATTTAATTTAGTTTACTTTGCTAAACATCCTTGATGATAATATGGCTATGAATAATCTATTATCAATGGTACATCACAATTCACTCATTGCAACACATTTCACTTGCTTTCATATATCATGCAATATGTGGAAAATAATACTTTTTATTCTATTAAAGAGAAAAATAAAACTTCCAATTTAAATACTACAATCCATATCTTGAAATATCATATACAGTTGAAATAAAATGCATAGTATTTTGACACATGTTAACAAAGTCCATTCTAAATTCTTAATAGAAACAACATACCTAATCCAAACACTATATCACTTGGAAAGCACTTCTTAGTCAAAATCAAGCTATCTCTAAATCCCAGTTCTTTTTCTTCACTTTTTCTTGAAGCATGATGATTTCTGATTTTGAAATTTTCCATGTCTCTAGGTTCCCTACATGGAAGAGCTGAGTACATCCATTCAGTAAGGCATCACATGATTTCATAGTTAGGCTTGATGGTACTCTATCCACAGTTGTTAGTGCACTCTGCACTTTGTATACAAATTTCTGCAAATTAGGCAGTAGAGGTACAGCCTGAAGCAATGTTTCATCATCTAGCAGGTACTCTCCATCTTCATCTGTGATCATTGAAAGTACAAAAGTTGTCAATTGAGGGCAGCCCTGCAGAAAAAATATCAAGGCTTCACCTTGAAGAACATTCTGACCATGGAAACGTAGAGTGTGCAGTGAAGGGAATCGTGGTTTTTGATCTGATGTTCCACTAACTATGAGGGAAAATGAGCGTAAAGTGAGCTGTTCCAAACCTGGGGAAGTCTGACAAAGTGAATTCAAAATAGGCCACTCCTCCTGGTATCCAACATTGATATCTAAATTTGTTAGATTCCTCATATACTTGCCATGAACTTCAAAATCATCTGTAAATACAGTTATATCTTGTGCCCTGGTGAAACTCTCAAGCACTTTCTCAGTTACCTCTGTTGGAGCATAGATGCCCACTTTTGTGACCTGAGTAAACACTTTTGATAAATACTCAGGGTCAGGCTCCTGTAAGAATTCTTCATAAGCAAAATAAGGCCAATTGTCATTACCATATACACCATGATGGAAATTGGTGAGTTTCTGTGCTCCAGGTAGTGATTCAAGTAGTTCTTCAAACTCTTCAGTTACATATATCATTGGTACACCAACAAGATACTCAAGATTAGGCATAAATGACAGCATTTCAATTGCATCATTTGTCACATCTAATGTTTCAACACCCTCTGGAAGAGCAAGAGTGACTAAATCTCGACATCCAGGTACCATTCGCACATGCCCATCTCCACATGCAGCAGAATTCCCATAAAGAACTTCAACATTTGTCACAACTGGAACATTTGACTTTGGATTAGTGCAGTCTGCTGAACATCGCAAAATCAAAACTTCCAGGTTTGGGCATAGATAAGCAATCTTTCTAACAAAGCTGTTATGAACATAGTGTGGCAGTTTGATGTATTTCAGTGTTCTCATGCCAACAACTTTACTATCGACTGCATATCCAAATATATCAAAGCAAGGACTTTCACACTCTTTGCCATTCCGATTCAGGGTTTCTCCACCCCAGCATAAGAGTTTCCATCTCTTTAATAAGTGAGCAATATGGGAGAAATCCAATGCCATAACCCCTTTCACTAATAAACATTGTAGTGATACCTTAAGAAGAAAACTCAGAGAGTTTAAGAATTCGAGATCTTCCTCAAAAATTCTTAGTTTTTCTTTTGGTCTTGGTATTTCAATCTTGGAAGCAACAACATTTAACACAGAAGCCAGGACTTTCTCATGAAATCTTGGGGCAAGGTAGCATGACAAGAACTCCTGAACCTCTTTGGCTAACCACTGAGTAATGACATTTACAGTTTGATACTCCTGCTGGACTGGAGACAGTGTACCACTTTCAGGTTCATTACTTGGATCATCACTGTATGAAGTACTGCAAACTAAATGCTTTAAGTACCAATCCTCATTTATGATGCTGGAATTTTTCTCTTCAATGCAATTATTTAACAAATCTTGTAATTCTTCAATCTTGACTTTTGCACTTCCATGGTTACAAAGAGCTAATTTCTCATTGATATGTCTATGACTTTTCCTTTTGGAAATACTTTTGCTATTTTCTATATTATACCATGAACAAAAGACACCAAACAGATGATTTGCAAGAGTCCAGCTACATAATTTCTCCAACCGTTCCACAGCTTTCAAAGGAGGCATTGGTAATTTTCACTCTTGAAAAGTCATATATTTCTGTAAAAGAAAAAATAATATTAGAATATATAATTAAAATCAGTACAGGATGCTACTCTCACCTACCTACATAATTACAATTACGACTACAACAATAAGGAAATCCAGAAATTAATTCCATATTAACAAATACTCCAGATGATATACATATTATACAGGTATATTTAAAACATAGGAAAACTTTGTGCACAGATGAATTCAAAGGCAA